AACATAAATAAAGTGACCGACGTAAATAAAGTGATCAATATAAATAAAGTGACCAACATAAAGTGACCGACGTAAATAAAGTGACCGACATGAATAAAGTGACCAACATAAATAAAGTGACCAACATGAATAAAGTAAACAACATAAATAAAGTGACCGACATAAATAAAGTGACCGACATAAATAAAGTGACCGACGTAAATAAAGTGACCAACATGAATAAAGTGACCAACATGAATAAAGTGTCCAACATAAATAAAGTGACCAACATGAATAAAGTAAACAACATAAATAAAGTGACCGACATAAATAAAGTGACCGACATAAATAAAGTGACCGACGTAAATAAAGTGACCAACATGAATAAAGTGACCAACATGAATAAAGTGACCGATGTGAATAAAGTGTCCAACATAAATAAAGTGACCGACATAAATAAAGTGACCAACATGAATAAAGTGTCCAACATAAATAAAGTGACCGACATAAATAAAGTGACCGACGTAAATAAAGTGACCAACATGAATAAAGTGTCCAACATAAATAAAGTGACCGACATAAATAAAGTGACCGACATAAATAAAGCGATCGACGTAAATAAAGCGACCGATGTAAATAAAGTGATCAACATAAATAAAGTGATTAACATAAATAAAGTGACCGACATAAATAAAGTGACCGACGTAAATAAAGTGACCGACATAAATAAAGTGACCGACGTAAATAAAGTGCCCGACATAAAGTGTCCGACATAAATAAAGTGTCCAACATAACTAAAGTGACCTACGTATATAAAGTAACCGGCATAAATAAAGTGATAGAAATAAATAAAGTGCCCAACGTAAATAAAGTGATCAACATAAATAAAGTGACCGACGTAAATAAAGCGTTTAAATAAAGTGTCCGATATAAATAAAGTGTTTGACATAAATAAAGTGAACAACATAAATAAAGTGTTTGACATAAATAAAGTGACCGACATAAATAAAGTGTCCAACATAAATAAAGTGACCGACGTAAATAAAGTGTTTAAATAAAGTGTCCGATATAAATAAAGTGTTTGACATAAATAAAGTGACCAACATAAATAAAGTGATTAACATAAATAAAGTGACCGACATAAATAAAGTGACCAACATAAATAAAGTGTAAGATTATGTTAATAAACCGGGATACTCCATTTGATCGTGTACACGGGGATATGAGTGTCCAGGTTTCTCTTCGCACATGTAAACACAGTATCCCCAGTACTGACATAACCGGGATTTGGATCATAACCGGGACACTGATGTACATGTAAACGCGCTCACTGTTTATATAAATGGACAAAAATAATCCTCTGTAGCTGCTGTGTTTCAAACAGGAAGTGAACGTGGGCGTGATTTGGCTCCATGGACTCTGGCTCCAATTCACTTTCTGTGGAAAACATGTCAGATTCTTCATTTTGGACTTAAAATGTCCATATTAACCCGCTCTACATGATCCTGTTTTTTTTTTATTTCACTATTTTCTCCCTAAAAGCCGCCAACCACACTCTACATGACTTTTTGGTCTTCAATTTTTAAATGTGCCACAAAAAGTGCACATCACAGAAACATGTTGTGAGCGCGATCGTGTCGGCTGTCAGACTCTTAAAGCAGAGGTCACCAAACTTTTTTTTCTCTGGTGCCACATTTTCGCTCCAGACTGTGATGAGGTCAGGGTCGGGTCGGTCGTATAACAGAATTGTTTGACCCTGACGATGCAGATTATATTCTTTAAAAACCTCCACACTTTCTTTACACATCAGACAAACTGCACGGTCCTTATTCTGAACAAAAAAAATAGTCAGGTCACCCACTGTTCTTTTGAAAATTCCAGCACTCTCTCTGTCAATTTTTCATACTTTAACACGAGTCATTTTTTGGTCCTTATCTGCTCTACAGAACTCGACTGTCACTGTTTGATCTCGAGTTTGTCAGTTGACGAAAATTTGGCAGCAAATGTAAATACGTCATATAATTATTTAAATATAAATATAAATACTTCATATACATATCATTTTTTAATTGAAAAAAATCTACAAAATATGCAGATGTATTATTATTTACCAAAAAGTAATTTAAAAAAATGACAGATTTTGAGGCCAGTTCAGGTTTTTGGGCTGGGGGCCGGTCAAAGGACGTGGAGGACCGGAGTTGGCCCGCGGGCCTGAGTTTGATGAGCCCTGTTTTAGAAAGACAGAGGAGCTCAACAGACTCCTACAGCTCCACTCAAACAGAGAGATACAGGAGTACAATCATACTATAATACTCCCTACGACTGTACAGTCACTCGCCCTTATGTAACAGATAATACTCCCTACAACTGTACAAGTCACTCTTATGTGACAGATAATACTCCCTACAAACTGTAGTCACTCGCCCTTATGTAACAGATAATACTCCCTACAACTGTAGTAACTCGCCCTTATGTAACAGATAATACTCCCTACAACTGTACAAGTCACTCTTATGTGACAGATAATACTCCCTACAACTGTACAGTAACTCACCCTTATGTAACAGATAATACTCCCTACAACTGTACAAGTCACTCTTATGTGACAGATAATACTCCCTACAACTGTACAACAACTCACCTTTATGTAACAGATAATACTCCCTACAACTGTACAACTACTCAGCCTTATGTAACCGATAATACTCCCTACAACTGTACAACAACTCACCTCTATGTAACAGATAATACTCCCTACAACTGTACAGCAAATCACCCTTATGAAACAGATAATACTCCCTACAAATCACCCTTATGGAAAAGATAATACTCCCTACAACTCTACAAGTCACCCTTATGCAACAGATAATACTCCCTACAAATCACCTTTATGTAACAGATAATACTCCCTACAACTGTACAACAACTCACCCTTATGTAAGAGATAATACTCCCTACAAATCACCCTTATGTAACAGATAATACTCCCTACAACTGTACAACAACTCACCCTTATGTAATAGATATTGCAACTGCAAGGATAATAGGGCCCAGGAGAGATCACTAGATTACTCAAACATGCACAGGCGACTCTAAACCCTCTTCAGACGTGTTTTTGACGAGGGAACAGCTAAAAAAAAGGAGTCAGACCCGGGAGAAGATGTTCAGAAGAATAAAGACCCTTAACAACAGCTTTAAAAAATGGAGGTTTTACGGACGAATCAGCGTTTAAAATATTCCAATCACACGAAAGACAAGACGAGCTCGAATCAGCGCCGCCTCCTTCACTCTCGCCGCCGCCACAAAAGAAATCAGAGCCCCACTCGTGCGCGTTCACGTCTCTGGAGGTTTCATCAGCGGATCCGAGTCCAGGACCGTGACGAGACCTGGACTCAGAGAGGGACTGGACCTTGGACTGAGTTGGTCCAAAAGGAAATCCCGTCCAAAAACACAAACGAATCAAAGAGGAGCTTCAACGCGGAGCTGGACCGTTCGTCTGGAGCCGTTTGCCCAGTTGGACGAGGCGTTTGTTGGGCTGATTTCTTCATAATTTCTTCTTTCATCCATAATTAAAAACCAAAAATGTTAAATTACACGTAAAAACACTGGTTTATTAAAAACAGGACAGCAGGAATATCACTAAATATGATTAAATATGACTGAAAATCTGTTTGGAAATTTACACAGTCATATTCAAATTATAAACTTTAAATTTGTAAATAAATCCAGACTATTGATAATATCAGTCTGGCATAGAAAGGACGGGCCAGACCAAAAAGTCCTACACATCTGAGTTCTGCACAGGTCCATTTTTTAAACCAGGACTGAACCAGGACTAAACCAGGTCTGAACCAGGACTGAACCAGGACTAAACCAGGATTAAACCAGGACTGAACCAGGACTGAACCAGGACTGGACCAGGACTGGACCAGAACGGAACCAGGACTAAACCAGGTCTAAACCAGAATTAAACCAGGATTAAACAAGGTCTAAACCAGGTCTAAACCAGGACTAAAGTAGATCTAAACCAGGACTGAACCAGGACTGAACCAGGTCTAAATCAGGACTAAACCAGGACTGAACCAGGACTAAACCAGGACTGGACCAGAATGGAACCAGGACTAAACCAGGTCTAAACCAGAATTAAACCAGGATTAAACAAGGTCTAAACCAGGTCTAAACCAGGACTAAAGTAGATCTAAACCAGGACTAAACCAGGACTGAACCAGGTCTAAACCAGGACTAAACCAGGACTAAACCAGGACTGAACCAGGTCTAAACCAGGACTAAACCAGGACTAAACCAGGACTGAACCAGGACTGAACCAGGACTGGACCAGAATGGAACCAGGACTAAACCAGGTCTAAACCAGGACTAAACCAGGACTACACCAGGTCTAAACCAGGACTAGACCAGGACTGAACCAGGACTACACTAGGACTAAACCCGCTCTACAGTAGGTCTAAACCAGGATCTGAACCAGGATCTGAACCAGGATCTAAACCAGGATCTGAACCAGGATCTAAACCAGGATCTGAACCAGGATCTGAACCAGGATCCAGGATCTGAACCAGGATCTGAACCAGGAGCGCAGCCGCTGAGTCGATCTTCTAATAAAAACACTAAAGTCTCTCTCAGTCTGGTCCATCGTTCTGGGAAAAGACCAGGAAATGTTTCTTGTTTCCAGGACAACGGACGACCTGGACGCGCCTCAAGTATTTTTTTTTCTCCCGTTCGTCGTTCTTTTGATTCACCTGACCCGCCCGAATCGCTACTCGCCCGTAACATTCCAGTTCCACTTAACCACACGTGAGGAAAACCAGAGCTTTTGGCAGAAAATATGTTTATGTAGATTAGCAATTAGAGCCAAAAGTTTACGCTGGACAAACACCAAAACAAGTTCATCAAGTTCCACAAAACCTGGACATGTGAGTGAAGTTTAGAAACTGGAGCTGGGACGCTGAACGAACCTGTAAACGAACGCCGACGTGACGAGTTTGTTTTGGCGTGTTTGTACTCACAGGGTGAAGTTGTGCTCGGGGTAACACCTGTTCCTCAGAAGCCCCGCCCACAGCTGCACGCCGATGATGCCGAAGATGAAGAAGACGAAGAAGCAGAGGAGGAGAACGTTTCCCAACATGGGGAGAGTGTCCAGGAGCAGGTTCACCAGGATACGCATGCCTACAACACACAACACAACACAAAACATTTAAAAACCTCTGTTCCTCTGTTTATGATGTGATTTAGATCGACAGACTGTGTTGGGAAAGTTCATTTTCTACTTTAAAGGTTGTATGGAGGATTTTTTTTAGTTTCAAACTGTCAGTGAAAGATTAAAATACCATTACAGAGACGCAGCAGCTTTGTAATTATGATGACCAAAAAAAAAAAGAACGAAAATCTATCAACTGTGGACGTGTTGAGGCCAGATAAACATCAGCCAATAGAAAACGAGGCTCCCTCATTTTCTATTGGCTGTTGGGTTGTCAATCAAACTCCCCAGTATAACTGACTCGTCGGATTACGTGGTTTACGCAGCGGTTCTTAGAGGCTTTTTCTGTCGCTTCCTCGCTTTTCGCACAAAGTTTGTCGCGACGGCGGACGAGAATCCACGACCGGTTCGCCGCAAAAGAAAGTCCGTTTTTGAGGTCGCTGAAAGAAGAAGAGAAGAGGAAAAGGAGTGAAGACAAACTGAGGTGATTCTTGGAGATCTCGTCCAGCGATGGCGCGACCGAAGCAGACGAAGGGTCTAAAAACAGACGCGTCGGTCACTGAATTACTTCTAGACAGGAAACTTCAACAGTAATTCTGAACGCGCACAAGGACTGTCGCTGTATTTCTCTTCCCTTAAAAAAATCCTCTATACAAACTTTAAAGCCATATGTTTCATTTGCATAAGAAAAAACCACACTGATGTGTGCAGCGATGCGACGCTAGTGGCTCGTGTTGTTGCCAGATTGAATGTTTTTCCTCTAAATAGTAAAGCTCTTTACGGTGCGTTTCGTCGGGTTTTCACCTGGAACTAAAAAAATCTGTCACTCTATTGAACAAACAGAAGCACACATCGTTCCTCCAGGATGAACAGGCTCACAGTTCATTCATTACAGCTCGTTCACTTCACATTCACCCAAAATATAAACGTTCCTGTACAACACTGATATAAACACATGGATACGACGGTCAGATCTATAAACACGTGGATAATACTGTTAGAGTTACCACTGTTTACGACGATCACAGGCTCCTGGAAATCTGATTTAAATCCATTTTGTGTTTTTGTCAGACCATCTTAAAACTTGTTTTGTGTGTGTGTGTTTGGTAATGTGTGCGTTCTGTCACTGTAGAGAAACATGTAAGACTCCCCCAGAGCGACGTCACTGCTGAACATCAATATTCCACACACTGAGTCGCCCAAACAAATCACACAAACACACAAACAAATCACACAAACAAACACACGAACAAATCACACAAACACAAAACAAATCACACAAACACACAAACAAATCACACAAACACACAAACAAATCACACTAACAAAACACACTAACAAAACACAAAAACAAACACACACGTACAACTGCAAACACACAGCACGACCACATGACCACATGACCTCTCTCCCTCCATCATCTCTCTCTCTATGGTCACATGGTCACATTTTTCTACAGCGCTTTTCCACCTTCAAGGCTCAAAGCTTTACAAATAAGGAGCCACTCACCCATTCACACACCAGTGCACACAGACACTGTGGGCAAGGTGGGTGAAGTGTCTTGCCCAAGGACACAACGACAGCATTCACCAGCCAACCTGTGGGTCAGTGGATCTGATGCTCAACCTGTGATGTTTATGTCAAGAGCTGGAATTGAACCACCAACCTTCAGATCAGTGGGCGAATGATCCACCAACTGAACTACTGCTGCCCCCTCTCCATCTCTCTCCCTCCATCTCTCTCCCTCCACCTCTCTCCCTCCACCTCTCTCCCTCCACCTCTCTCCCTCCATCTCTCTCCCTCCATCTCTCTCCCTCCACCTCTCTCCCTCCACCTCTCTCCCTCCACCTCTCTCCCTCCACCTCTCTCCCTCCATCTCTCTCCCTCCATCTCTCTCCCTCCACCTCTCTCCCTCCACCTCTCTCCTCCACCTCTCTCTCCCTCTCATCTCTCTCCCTCCATCTCTCTCCCTCCATCTCTCTCCCTCCACCTCTCTCCCTCCACCTCTCTCCCTCCATCTCTCTCCTCCACCTCTCTCTCCATCACCTCTCTCTCCTCCACTCTCTCCCTCCATCTCACCTCTCTCCCTCCATCTCTCTCCACTCTCTCCCTCCACCTCTCTCCCTCCATCTCTCTCCCTCCATCTCTCTCCCTCCACCTCTCTCCCCTCCTCCTCCCTCCACCTCTCTCCTCCACCTCTCTCTCCCTCCATCTCTCTCCCTCCACCTCTCTCCCTCCATCTCTCTCCCTCCCTCTCACCTCTCTCCCCTCCATCTCTCTCCCTCCATCTCTCTCTCCTCCACCTCTCTCCCTCCACCTCTCTCCCTCCACTCTCTCCCTCCATCTCACCTCTCTCCCTCCATCTCTCTCCCTCCACCTCTCCCTCCATCTCTCTCCCCCACTCTCTCTCCCTCCATCTCTCTCCCTCCATCTCTCTCCCTCCATCTCTCCTCACCTCTCTCCCTCCATCTCTCCCTCCATCTCTCTCCTCCATCTCTCTCTCCTCCATCTCTCCCTCCATCTCTCTCCCTCTCCCTCTCTCCTTCCATCTCTCTCCTTCCATCTCTCTCCCTCCACCTCTCTCCCCTCCACCTCTCTCCCTCCATCTCTCTCCCTCCATCTCTCTCCTCCTCTCTCTTCCCTCTCTCCCCTCCACCTCTCTCCTCCATCTCTCTCCCTCCATCTCTCTCCCTCCACCTCTCTCCCCTCCACCTCTCTCCCTCCATCTCTCTCTCCTCCATCCTCTCTCCCTCCATCTCTCTCCCTCCATCTCTCTCCCTCTCACCTCTCTCCACCTCTCTCTCTCTCTCCCCTCCATCTCTCTTCCCTCCACCTCTCTCCCTCCACCTCTCTCCCTCCATCTCTCTCCCTCCATCTCTCTCCCTCCACCTCTCTCCCTCCACCTCTCTCCCTCCATCTCTCTCCCTCCATCTCTCTCCATCCTCTCTCCACCTCTCTCCCCTCCTCTCTCCTCCATCTCTCTCCTCCATCTCTCTCCCTCCACCTCTCTCCCTCCATCTCTCTCCTCCATCTCTCTCCCTCTCCTCTCCACCTCTCTCTCCCTCCACCTCTCTCCCTCCATCTCTCTCCATCCTCTCTCTCTCCTCCATCTCTCTCCCTCCACTCTCTCCCTCCATCTCTCTCCCTCCTCCACCTCTCTCCCTCCATCTCTCTCCCACCTCCTCTCTCCCACCACCTCTCTCCCTCCACCTCTCTCCTCCATCTCTCTCCCTCCACCTCTCTCCCTCCTCTCCACCTCTCTCCCTCCTCTCTCCTCCCCTCCACCTCTCTCCCTCCACCTCTCACTATTATCATAAAGAGCTCTCTCTGTTTCTCTCTATTCCTCTCTCTCTCTCTCTTTCTCTCTTTCAGTATCATCAAAAAGAGTTCTCAGTTTCATTCTCTCTCTCTGTTTCTCTCTGTTTCTCTCTATTCCTCTCTCTCTCTCTCTCAGTATTATCATATAGAGCTCTCTGTTTCTCTCTTTTCCTTTCTCTCTCTTTTAATATTATCATAAAGAGCTCACTCTCTCTCTCTCTCTTTCAGTATTATGATAAAGATCTCTCTGTTTCTCAGTTTCTCTCTATCACCTCTCTTTCTTTCAGTATCATAAAGACCTCTCTCTCTCTCTGTTTCTTTCTCTCACTCTCTCTCTCTCTTTCAGTGTTATCACAGAAAGCTCTCTCTCTTTCCGTTTCCCACTCTCTCTCTCTCCCTCTTTTTAGTATTATCATAAAAATTCTCTCCATTTCTTTCTCTCTTTCCCTCTCTCTCTTTCAGTATTGTCACAAAGAGCTCTCTCTCTGTCTCTCTCTATCCTTCACTCTCTCTCTTTCCCCCTCCGTTTCTCTCTATTCCTCTCTCACTCCCTCCCTCTTTCTCTCTCTCTCTCTTTGTCAGTATTCTCATGAAGAGCTCTCCGTTTCTTTCTCTCTGTTTCTCATTCTTTCAGTATCATCACAAAGAGCTCTCTCTCTCTCTGTTTCTCTCTATCCTTCACTCTCTCTCTTTCTCTCTCCCCCCTCTCTCTCTCTTTCAGTTTTATCATAAAGATCTCTCTGTCTCTCTCACTCAGTTCTCTCTCCCCTCGTCTCTCTCTCCTCCCACTTTCCCCCACTCTTCCCTTCCTCTCTCTCCATTATCAAAACAAGCTCTGTCTCTCTCTTCTCTCCTCCTCTCCCTCTCTCTTTCTCTCTCCCTCTGTCTCTCTCTCTCTTTCCTCCTTTAATCTCCATCCCTCTCTCTCTTTCTCTCTCTCTCCATTATCATAACGAGCTAATCATTTCTAATCTTCGCCCTAATTGCCTCCCCGGTTCATCATGTGTCTGTTCGTCTCAGAGAAGATTTGCGCGAGAATTTTTTGGGGGGAGCCTTTTATTGTCCGGGGAATCAGGTAATTACACTGTTAGCATGCTAGTCCTCTGTGCACTTCTCTGCTGAACTTTAACCTGAGCCTTTTTTTCCACACAGTCGGACCAGAAAGAGACGATTTATCTGGAACCACGAAGGCTGCGCCGTTAAACAAATCTGACCAACAGGTTTTCAGTTCGTCAGGTTCAACTTTTTGTCAAAAATCAAACTCCGAAACAAAACCGTGAATGAACGTCGGACTGATCACCGGCTCCCGAAAACGTGCTGTTGTTGAGTCAAATTTTGAAGCCGACTTTTCCTTGGATTTCCAGCCAGCCGACCTTTTTCACAACGGCCTCCAGCGGCGTCATAAATCTGCCCCAACACCGAATCTTCAACCAGCAAGGTCCAAACGAAGAATTTATCCACAACTATCGAGGTGAAAAAGATGAAAATTTAGGTTAAAAGTGGCGTCGCGTCTTCACTTTTTATTCCACGTTTACTCGAGTGTTTTCAGGAAGAAACAAAAGTGTGTGGAATTGGATTGTGTTTGTTCGTACTTAAAGGTTGTATGGAGGATTTTTTTTTGTTTCAAATTGTCAGTGATAGATTATAGATG